AGGAGGAGGAGCAGAGGCAGGAGGGGAGGAGGAGGAGGAGGAGGAGGAGGAGGAGGAGCAGAAGCAGGAAGGGAGGTGGAGGAGGAGGGGAGAAGCAGCAGCAGGGGGAGGAGAAGGAGGTGTGATGTGTAGCGCTGACACGGACAGTTCGTAGGAAATAGAAGAAGAGAGACAGAGGAGAGGAGGACGCCAATGACGCTCCGAGGCAGGAGGACGGATACGAAATGCAGACCACGAGAAACAAGCTTGATTGCGATCGAGGAGCTCGCAGCTTAGGTGCAGCTCACCGGGTCATTTGTCACAGCCGGGGGACTCGAATGTAGAGGTAGTTTATTCCGTGCTATCCTCTCCCCTAACCTCCCGAATAGAAGGCCTACGTAGTTATTGTGAATGTACCCTGTCTAGAGCTTGCACTAGATACGAATATAGCAACCATACCTTCTATCCCGGGGAGCACAGACGGCCGTCGAATCCTGCTCGTGATCGAGTGCGAGTATGCCCTCCGTATATTCACCTGAAGCGCAGGTCGCAATACATACGTCTGGCTTGGACTGACTCTCACAGATCACTAAGACCAGAGTTCCCCAGGGGAGACTCTGAATCTGGCTTGGATTCTGAATCGGAATGACTCTCACAGAGCAGAGTGCGCCAGGGGAGACTCTGAAAGAGACAAAGCGTGCGACTGGCGCTGGACCTCATACAACTTGATACAAGGACGAAGGCGGTGAGGAGGGAGACATACGAGATGGGGGAGGAGGAGGAGGAAGATGTACACATACTACACAATGCCGGCTCGGTCAGTAGTCTCCCCAAATCGTTAACGGAAACTGTTTGGGAAAAGTCATAAAACCTCCCCGCTACGAAACCTTTGTATCCATTTCCCCCCAAACGGGGAAAAAAGTGCCGCAGCTCCCAAAATCACTTTCGGTGTCCCTTTTTTTTTGCACCCTGGCTGGCACCTTTTTCCCCGTTTGGGGGCAAATGGATACAAAGGTTTCTTCGCGGGGAGGTTTTACCACTTTTCCAAAAATGTCTCCCCTCAAGGCCAGATCAATACACCTCTGCTCATAGTCCAGTTCAGTACCCAATCTCGACTTCTCATTTTTCCTCTCTCTCTCTCTTTTCTTTTTTTTTTTTCTCTCTCATACCAAGTCTCCTCATGATGTCCGATCTCAAGAAGAGGCGGAGGGAGACATGGAAGAAGATCTCTCTCTCTCTCTCTCTCTCTCTCTCTCTCTCTCTCTCTCTCTCTCTCTCTCTCACACACACACACACACACACACACACACACACACAC